CATCTTATGAGCTTTTAAAGAACTTTGTAGCTCCTCAATCTTCATAGAGGTCACATCCTTTGATTCCTCTATAGCCACTACTATGTAATCAAATCTTTGTGGCAGAGATCTCATGACTTTTTCAATGATCATGAGATATGTTATGGCTTCTCCATACCCCTTCATTAGATTAGTCAAGGTGAGTATCTTGGTGAAGTAATCTTTAACCTTGTCATTTTCTTCCATTTGAGTAAGCTCATATTGCTTTCTCAAGGTTTGTAGCTTCACTTTCTTGATCTTGACTCCACCATCATCACTTCTAACTAAAATACCCCAAGCTTCTTTTGTAGTGCTTGCATTCTGAATCTTGCTGAAGTGAGTGTCATCTACACACTGGATGCAGCAAGAACATGACTTTATTGTCTTTCTTCTTAGCATATTTGTATATTGCAGCCTACATTTCTGTAGCTTATGGACCATGTTGAGGAACACCATCTTCAATGGCTTCTCTTACTTCTTGATAGTTGAACATAATCTTCATTTGTGTATTCCATCTATCCCAATTCTTTTCTGTTAAGATGGGTAGGTTCATAGATGGAATTGGAATTTTCACTTGTGCCATTCTTACTCAATCTTTATGCTGCTAACTGCTTCTTCTCTTCTGCTATCTTCTTGGATCTTCTTGCACACTTTTCTTGCAATGTTACTTGAACAGCTTCTTCACTCTCTACAACCTCAACCACACCACACAACTCTTCCAACTCACACGCAGTGATTGCTTGATCTATGTATGCCTCAGCTTTGATAGATTTGGGTTTGTGGAAAAAAGTGAAGAATCGTGTTGCCCAAGATTGCAACAAGCTCTGATACCAATTTGTTAGAAAACCAGAGAAAGAGAAGATAGAATTCAATGAATAATGCAGTATTTTCTTATTGAATCAATCAAAGAATGTACTTTCCTTATATAGCAAGAAAGCCAACTAACTAAACTGAATTTTAAACTCAAACTTTCTATAATTGACAAGTTCTATTTTAATCCTTCTAATCACTAAATCTAAATCTAAAACTACTTGGCTTATCTATACATGTTAATCACAACAAATTTTAACAATAAAAAATTGTTAACTAATAAGTAATAACATTTTTAATAATCAGAAAATATAATAAAAAATACATTTAAGGTTATTAATTACATGGCTAATCAGATTTAGAAGACATCCTCATTTTATATGGATAGGTATAAGTATCATTTCGCTTTCGATAAATCAGATTTCTAAAATTGGAATAAAAAACTGATCCGATCACTTTTATTAAAAATATCCAAGTAAATTTGGTTTTTTGTGGTTTTAGTTTTTTGGACTAATTTTCAATTTCCTTTTTGGATTATCTCAACACTCAAGCTTACAATTAGTCAACTATGTTACATTATCTAACCTCTAATTCTCTTTTGACCAAAACTCAATAAATAAAAATTCTTATTAATTATATTTTTAATCTATCAAATAAGATTGGTTTAATTGAATATTAGTCGATTTAATTATAAGCCACTAGAATGTGAGTTCCTATCTTGTTGTTGCAATGCAAGAAAGATCTCCATATTTATTGATGTATATTATCTCTAAGTCGCCATGCATGCTCCAATCTTGAAACCTTAGTGTCTAAATCACCCAAACTTAACATCATTATTTAATTATTCTATCGCTTTTTATCTATAGACATTAATTAGTATATAATGAGTTTATTTTTATCTTTTGTGTTGTTAATCAAGTTTGTTGGTGCTTATTTGATACATCACTACACATGAGAAAATAACATATTTATTCAAAAAAATTCGTGAGTATAAGATCTTATATATATATGAATAAAAACATTAAAGATATCCCAATCTTAAATCATAATAAACCTATAATTCCAATAAAATATATAAGTCATGGTCACCAAAAAGTCACATACTTCATATAATTAAAATTGTAACTTTCTATAGAAATCTTAACTCTTTCCTAATTTTATCTTAAATTATGAAAAGTTGACATTTTCTAAACGTGCATATTAATTAAATAGTTTTTAGAACTGTATTTGATTTAAAAATATTAAATTCATTATATGTATAAAAATAAAATTTAACTATATTTAATTTATAGCCTAATCTTATAGATTTTAATTTCAATGTGAATTGAAAACGTAATTTTAAATTTATCCCTACTTCAAAAAAAATTAAATTAACCTAGTTTTACATTATAAAACGTAATAATTTCTAAAATAATATTATGCACGAGAATAATTAGGTTTTGTATCTTTATTTTTGACTATTTTTGTTGTGTGTTGCATCAATATTTATAGGTTAACCTCAATACTGACTACCAAATTATAATTGATTTTATTTTTATAAGTCATTAATTTCCTGATTCATTTATAAATTAAAATAAATAGGAGTAATGAAAGATTTATTTTTATTACATAATTAAATTAGTTTAGTTTTTAATAAAAATAGTAATGAGAAAATAATTTACTGATTTCAAAATGAGATATTGTTAATAAGTGATAAAGCATCTAACTTTAACAAATTAATTAATTATTTTTCTCATTTTCTCTATGATGTAAATGATTTTCTTCATAAATCAAAATAGAAATGATCTCAAAATTCACTATCTGGTCTCGACTCACATTTTCACTTTTTTTCTCTTTTGTGTATAGTACAAAAATAGGTAGGATAAAATTAGATGTTAAAATAGTATATGTTAATTAAGGAAAGTTAGAGGTTACTAAGGCTAGAAGACCTACATGTAATGCTTCTTCTCTATAAAGTTATCACTGTGGTCAACAACAGAGACCATGGTAAGAACAAAACCCAAGTTACAAGTAACTCAAGCTCTTTAATCAAAGGAGACAAGGCGATTCCAAAAGCAAGAAATCTGATTATAGAGATCGAAGATAAACAAAATAAATGGTGTCGGATTCACAATAAAATTAGACATAATAAGTTAATTTATTAGACATAAAATTAAATAGGTTAGAATTCGTCAAAACAATAATACAACCAATCAAATTCTATCATAGGTCAGGATCGGTTTCCACTTAAAAATATTTTATATTTTTGAAAATAAATAATCAATAATTTCAACCTTAAACTTCATAATTCTTTATAATATGATCCTCGGTTATATTATAATAATAATTGAGTTACATGTAGTAAATAATTATATGTATATTTATAAGTTTATTATATTTAATATAATATATAACGTAACCAATATATTAGTTAATAAACTATGGATTGAATTAATGTATAACTATATCAATATACCAATTCAATAATAAAAATTATATTAATAATAATTGGTCTGACGATCATATATTGATTGTTTGTTTTGAACATGAATCTCTTATCTTAAAGAGATCATGTCTTCATGTTCTTATTCAATAAAATTATATAAAATATTATTTTACTTTTTATAATTTTTTTCAATTAAATAATTTTTTTCAATTAAATAATTTTTTTATTGTTCCGGCACACATTTGAAGACACCAAAAAGGACGACTGATTTTCATTTTTTTATTTGTTAACTACATTCCTTTTTTAGGGAAAATATATGAGTGAGACATAATGTTCCCCTATGCCATCCCATGCAGAAGACACGAAAACGCAAAGGTATTATTTGTGGGTATGAAATGCAATATATGCTTTGAAATCACAATGAAACTTGGAATAATGCATTTAGTTGAAGATTGGAGCACATAATATGTCCGTGACCACAATTTTATAAGTCAACTCGAGTAAATATTGATTATAGATGCTTTTCACAGTACTCTTCTTTGAGATATATGAAACATGGCATTCTTTACTAAAACAACTAAGTTCAGTTGATTCTTCATGAGTTAAATATTAAATTTGGCCATTTTCTCTTTTTGCTTGCAATACTCGATCCTAACCTTCACTAAAATCGTCAATACCTCCACCAGTTACAAATTTTAGTGAAAAATCTACTTTTATAGGGTATAATTATAAAGTTTAGGACTATAATAAATTTACAAATGAATGTCACTAAATATTTTAAAAGTCGGTATTGAGAAAAAAGAAAATAAATCATGAGCAAGAGTATAATTTTTGAAAAAATGTAATATCTAGGCACCTGAACTATGTTTAAGTCAAATTTAAACTATTTTAAAAGTGTGATAGATAAAATAATTAAATTTCAGTTAAACGATAGACCCTTTTTGATAGAAAGGAAATAAGTGAAAACGTACCTATCCGTTTATTTTTATGTGCCTTTGATATGGTTTATAAGCTATGGAGAAAGAAATATAATTAATACATTTTTATTAAATTAATGTAACATTTGTCTATTCCCCTTACTAGAATAATCACACTCCCCACCTCTTTTAATTATTATCACCATTAAAACGTCATGTGGGGATAAAAATAAGGTTCTAAATATAATCATAAATATTTTCTTTATTTTGATAAAAAACAACAACAAAAAATGTTAATTAGAAACAAATTTGTTTTCTCAAAAACAGTTAAAAAAATACAAAATGTAGTAATCAATCAGAAAAGAAAGTGATGGGGTTCAAAGCCTGTGAATGTCAAAACGAACATATTCATAGCAATTTGGTGCCATCAACATGCAAACTCGTGAAGTACCTGCAGTTGACTTCACCAATTTCAACATGCCACGATCGCATACAAGAGCAACACTTTAGCTTAATATTGATGCATATATATTAATGGATGGTCCCTTCCAGTTTTAGAACATATTCTTAAATTTGTAATCTCTATCTCTGGCTTTGGCCAAAGTTGATTTTGGTATGAGATAATTATCAAAGCAAGGAGAAGTCATAGATAGCTAAGCCAATAAAATAATAATAACATTATTAAGGAATATGTCAACAACATATACCAATGAACTCTTCTATTTTGTAACATTGTGATGTATATAAATAGGGGTTTTGATCATTCACTATTTGTCATCAGAATTAAAGTTAAGAGTTGAGAGTAAGAGTGGGGTCTTGTATGTAGATGAAGAATCATGTCTAGTAGCCAAGGATGACTTGCCTAGTTAAACCCATTCTTGGGACTTTGTCTTATATGAATATGATGAAGTTCCTTGTTTGGTTTATTATTTGGCAAGCATCTATGGCTTGTTGACTGTCTCTTGTCTTACATGTTAGACCTTCACTCTTTTTCACATACCATTATAAGAAGTCACTACTAGATGATGAAGCCCATGGGTTAGTTTCTTTACACATGCTCTATCTTACTTTAGGAAATTACCTATGTGGTGTAGCATAATGCTACTATTGATTTGGTGGCCTATGGGAATTGAATTGAAGAAATTCTTATCGGGAAATAAGTCTCATATCGGCTACCTCATTCTCTTATTATATTTTAAATAGATATTGAGTTATTTCTCTCATTGTCAAATAGTTTTAATATAAAACATTAACATGATATTAGAGTTGAACCCAATTTATCTTCGGTTAGAAGATGCCATTTAATCATGAGTAAAAGTAACTATTCGACTAATCTAACAAGCTTCCATTAATGACACATGCTGAAAAGTAAGTCTGAAATCAGATGTCTTATTCTTTTGAGTCTCACTCCTTTCTATACTGGAGAAACTAGTGCATATGTAAGATTATAACACATGACAAAAATAAATTTTCAATGATACAAATTTTTTATTTATTTTTAAATTGAATAATTGAAGTAATGGAAAAGAACTCAATTCCATTATTTGAGACGATGGAACTTTTCTTTCATGGTATGTATTCTATTCCTTGAAAGATAATAGTTGCAAGACAACATTATAATGGGTTTTGTTTTTTTTTTTTGGATTTGGAGCATGCATATAATTTTTTTTAATTTTTTAATCATTTGGTCAAGAATGTAAGTTGTTGTAAGAAATATTGTTGGTATTTTTTGAGAATTTTACTCGTGAGTGTAAGTTTCTATGTTTGTAAAAGATTTACATAAAAATACGTTGTAAAATAACATATCTAGGAAACTTAAATTTTGAAGCATGCGAGAATGATAAATAATAGCGAAAATATTAACTTTTTGATGTAAAATAACTTATGTATTGTCCTCCATATACTGTTTTTGTTTTTCAGTCAGGTGTATTTTTGGACAATCAATCACATTCCACACAATGTTTTACAATAGTTGAACATGAACCAAATATGGAATATAACTTATTTGTGTACAACATTTCCAAAAATCACATTCTCCAAAATATGCTAAAACATGCTCAATACTATTTTAGTTGTCACTTTAGCATTTTTTTTAATTTTTTTCATATTATTTACTACTTTTGAAAAAGCGTTAATTACTTTTTTTCATAATCATATATTCTTGGAAAATTCAATGGTTTGAATTAGTAAATATATCTAAACCATTGAATTTTTCAAAAATTAATGACTAAAATGTAGAATAAATTTTTTTCACGTACAAGTGAATCTCTTCTCTTTATCATATACTTTCATACATTAAAAAATACTTGAACCAATTTTCTTAAAAGTGAAAGATTGATAATTCCAAAAGACATTACCAAGGTTATTTTAGTCAAACCTTATTGTTTTTACATTGTAGTTAGCACCCTTAATTATTATCTTAATTTGCCTATATGCGATAACTAAAATGGAGTGGGGAATATTTCTTCTACCAAACGCCACTTACCTTACAACAAAAAGTCTTGTTAAATTAGCCAAGGTGGAAACTACCACAAATTGATAAAAATCGTACCAAGTTATATTAGCCCTGATTTTTGAAGTTACAGTTTTATAACCACAATTTGAAACACTAAACCATCCTAAAAGTCAATCCAATCTAACTTGTTAAGAATGGAGATCACATGTCCCAAAAATGATATCTCAATATATTCAGACCCATTAAAAAACTGCTATGTAATTAATATGAAAATTAAAAAATAGAAAAATATATTTTTTACATTACTTGATGCAACATGATTAACTTAAGACATGTGGACAAATTTTTTTTGGAACTGATGATCCTTATTCACTCGGTACACCTTGACATAAAACACTGGACTAGACTCGTAACTGGACCAAATTTGAGTGAACAGCTACATGTTGGACCAAATATGCGTGTGACTCTAAGGTCATTTACCCATCAATGCTGATCCAATCACACTTGTTGGTTGGATCTTTGTATATCATATGCTGATATGCACTATCAGTCAACAAAGAAAAACAGGACATGAAACCAAAGTACTATTCAGTAGCCACATGAACACAAACATCCAGCACCCTCGGCCCAAAAGGAAGGGGAAATTTTTTTTCATCATGGTACTGCTGTTTAAACAATTTTCTTTGTATGCTCTCTCACTTCACATTTGTCACTAGAGTTTGGATTTAATTTTTATTTATTTTTAATCAGTAGAAAAAGCATATGATGTCAATATATATCTTAAAAAATTAATGGAAAAATTAAAATTATTAATTTTGAATTAATTTTATTTTGTTTAAACTAATGAACCCACTTTAATACAAGGAATTGCACATTGTGATACAACTATTCAAGGATGTAGTTGCTGCTTTTTGTATGTATATGCCCGACTGGAAATTTATCACTTTTTTCTTGAAATATAATAGTATTTTTATTTGGGTTATTATTTATTATTTTCTCGTTTAACTTTTTATAAATAACTATCACTGAATTTCATTAATTATTTGTTTCGTGAATTTGTTAAGAAGTAAGTCTCATATCGTGTGGTTAATTCTCTTAGGCATGATTTAAATATATGTTTGACTACCCTTCTATTATCAATTGTTTTAGATAAAAGTTTAACATCAATGTTAGAGCCAAAACCGAACTTCTCTCCAATTGTAATGGAGAAAATGATACAATTTAATTATGGGTTAAATGAAACCTTTCACCTAATTAATTAGACTTATGCAAAGCGCATATTTAGAAATAAGTTGCAGTTTATTTATTTCATTATCTTATACATAGCTTAAATACGTATTATTCCTTTTATTGACAACTGAATTTAAGATTAAACCTTAACTTATATTGAATTAGTTACATAGGTAGATAGTGAAGGACTTTATGGTCCAAATAAAAATCAATCCCAGCATAGCCAAACCGTGTTCATAGAAATTAACGATTACTTGCTCACAAAAAAAATGTAAGGGTCACTTGCCAAAAATCTTCCACAATATTTTTCTATTAAAACTCTAATAATATAACGTATTTGTCTAATGTTGTAAGATATTATTAAATTATCAAATATTTCAGTAGAACATATGTTCGATTCACAAGAGTTAAGTTTATTTGGAGATATAGACACACATTCTGAAAGAGATTAGTTCGTTATAATAATATAGTATTTTCCATTTGTTTGTAGGTTTGAAACTTTAATTACTCTTCTGGAGAAGAGATGGTTACTGGGCAGTTGAAATAAGGCAGAGAGACACACAGAGTTGAAGAGAAATTAAGAATAGGAGATAACATAAAACAAGTGGTTGGTTACATATGGACTAAAATTGCAAGTGTCTTGTTGGGACATCCCATGTATTAGGTGTTCAAAGAGGCATGAATCTAGATACCTCACTATTATTAAATCAATGTCACCTTCCATCATCTTCATTTCTTTTTCCTGACAAAAAAGGGACAAGGCAATTCAATAACCTAAGGGGCCATTTCATGAGGCTAGGTTTGCTACTTACTCACCTGGTGGGACCATATTGTGGGGTCCACCCCAATTGGCTCCTACCATGGCCTTCACTGCCACCAACCCTCTCACTCTCACCCCTACAAGACTGGTCCCTCCACCCTCCAAATTAAGGCTCTCTTCTCTGCATGGGACTCTTATGCACAAGAATAGGTATAGGTTATCTCTTGTCCTTATCCTTTCCCAACAACACTCACACCATAGGAACAATTATATGATCTTGTAATAAAGTCTCTCAATTGATGAAGGCACCTTACTTTTCACTTTCATAGATATTATTATAAATATAAGTCAAGGTTTTAGGAGATATTAAGTTTATAACATCAAATTTTGAGAGTCTAGGAAATCATGATTGCTATTTAAAACCTTTATATATATATATATATTAATGAGGAGATATTCTACATCAAGTTTAGAGAAAACTTTTTGTTGATATTTAGTTTAATGGTGTAAAGACCTTCTAGATCTCCAGACTAACCAAAATATCAATGATTCAATTTTTGTAAATGACATTTATTGGGAGGGACAATTATGCACCCAAAAGAGATTAATTTCTTACCCAAAGAGTAAGAAAATATTTTTGGTAATACATAAAAATTATTTCAGCATATGTAGCGCGTATTTGTGATTGATTTAACTCTAATATCATGTTGTTCTTAACTCATCATAAGGACAAGTTTAAAGGGTGGGAAGAACCCAAGCCTTATAAAGATTATCTTTAAATATTGTTTATCTGATGTGGAATCTCAATTTTAATCTCATTCAATTCAAAGAGAATTATTATCTACAATGAAAGAAACATATCCCAGAAAAAAAGTAATGCCTTAGATTTATACAAGAATCTCTTGAACTCTGCCTCTATATTGTTCCTTAGCGCAATCTCAGTCCAATTTTTCAGCAGCTAGAGACACATTACCCTGATATATTTTCTGGTGTCTTTACCATATTTCTGTCAATTGAATGAGTGGTTGCTACCCCTTCATATTTTATGATTGATATTAATCACCTAAGTACTGTTATGTTTTAATCATTGATTTTATTTGTTGGGGAAAGTTGTTAGGTCAGTGTCACACTATTACGAGATCTGCTGTCCCAAATTGTGTCTCAGACTAATCAGAATGTGTTATTTAATTGAAGAAAAAAGTTATAAAATCAAAATATAATATTTTATATTATTTGATGTAATTCTATTGGACATAGACAGAAAGACATGATACTTTTGGGACATATAATCTCTACGGCTAAATTCAACTTTAGTAAACACGTAATTGGAAACAAACCGTGTATATAATCCCGACAATTTAGTTAGATTCTTAATGTTGGATCAATCTCACTAATAAAATCATTATTTGAAAGCAAAAGGGAAATAATCATATTCTCAAAGTCACCACTAACATCTACAACCTATCATTATTAGATTTGGATTAGACCACATATAATCCCACTTAAGCTTTGTAATAA